CCCTCCCTCCGAGCCTCCCTCCGCCGGTCCGAGCGCAGGGAGCGGCCGCGATCGCAGCATGAGCACCCTCAAGGTCTACAGCACCTCGGTGACCGGCTCCCGGGAGGTGAGCGGCGGCAGGGTGGGGGCTCCGGTGGGGCAGGGCTAGGTGCCCTGGCGCCCCTCTCCCCTGGGGTGGGCGTCTCTTCCTTGGCGAGCTCTGAAGCCCCCCCCTTCACCCCATCCCAAGTGTCCCATCCCCTTCTTTTCCCCCCCTCCACGAAGTGCTGGGTGTCCCCTGCTCCCCACGCAGGGCCGAGCCCCGTGGCCGGGTGGGCTCCGGCCCATGGGCGCTGTGCTGAGCGTGGCTGACAAGCCTCGGGCTCCTCTCCAGCTGCCCGTAACCTGCCTTTCCCGCCCGGGTTCCAGATCAAATCCCAACAGAGTGAAGTAACCAGAATCCTCGATGGGAAAAACATCAAATACGAGCTGGTGGATATCTCCCAGGACAACGCTCTCCGGGAGGAGATGAGGGCGAAGGCAGGCAACCCCAAAGCCATCCCGCCCCAGATCGTCAACGGAGACCACTACTGCGGGGTGAGGCTCGTGCTCTGCGCGGGGGAGAAGCACCGGGGAGGTGGTTGGGTGGTGGGCAGTAACCCCCATCCCTTTGTTTTTGCTACAAATAGTGTCCAGATGTTTTTCCAGAGGGGTTTCTCTTGGACAAAGCGCTGCCGGACTTAATGGGTGCTTGGAGCGCATCGGCTTGTGAAAAACGGGACCTAGGCAGGGGGGTTCTGGGTGACCCCGGGGCAGGGGCTGTCCCCGCTTTGCCCTGTCACTCTCCACGTGACTGTCACCCATGTTGTGAACCGGTTTGTGCCCAGGGGACCCCGAGTGTCGGGAGCGTACCTCTCCCTCTTGCCTTGTGAGCGACCATGTGGCTTTTCCCTGCAGGATTATGAGCTCTTTGTGGAAGCAGTGGAGCAGAACACCCTGCAGGAGTTCCTGAAGCTGGCCTGAGCCACGTCCCCTCCCGTCCTGGACTCTACCTGCAATTCCTGAGCACCCTCATCTCCGACCACCTTCACTTCCAGGTTGTCAGCGCTGTCCTGGCACCACGACCTGTATCCCAGCACAGGGAAAATCCATGACCAAAACTACTCATTGCAGCTGCCTACGATTCCCTCCTGCCTACCCCTGATATCATCTCAGAGGGATCCAAAGAAAGTCTGACGCTCGCTGCGCATGGCCTTTGAACAAAGCTGGGCCTGGCTCACCCGCAGCTTCCAGTGCCTCTGTAAACAGCAAAGCCTCTGGGGCTGTGCGAAGTGCAGCCGCCCGTCAGCCCTCTCTGCTGCAGGGAGAGCAGGAGGGAAGGGCTTAGGGTTGCTTTTTACTTCCCACTTCTCCCGGTTGCTGTTAAAATTGTAAATCCTGCTGTCTCACTTCCTTTTTCTCTTTCATCTCAACTGCAGAGATTATGGCAACTAAGTCATATTTTTGTTTGTTTGTTTTTAATTTAATGCAAAAAATACTGCACAGGGCTGGGGTCTGACCACCCACCATGCAGAAGGCTGGGGGCAAAGCCCACTGTGGCTCGGGGGGGATGGATGGGCCTGGGAGCAGGACCCAGGCTGCTCCATCTGCCCTCAGCCGTGATGCGCTGCCAGGGCTCCCTCGTGAGCCTTAACAGTTCAGGGCTGCTCCAGAACAGCTGATGCTCCAGCTGTCTTATCTTTCCTCTTTGAGTTGGCTTTATTTTATTTTTTTGCAACCTGGACCAAGTGCATTTTGTTTTCCTGCCAAAAAAGCAAGTTTATAACCAGTGTTGTCTTCCGAGATGCTATTAAATGTTACTGTACCTTTCACATCGGTACTCGTGGGTTTCCTTTAAATTTGATTTTATTTTGACTACAGGTTAAACATCACCCTAACGATTCTGAGTCATTTCCAGCTCAGAGAAGCTGAGTCAGTTGTACTCACTGCTGCAGCCTGACACAAAGATCTTAACACCTTAGATTGCTGCTGCTAATCAAAGGCTCACAGGACTTGTCTGAATATCCTACAGCACGGTAGTGACAGGTACCTCTCTCCAGCATTCCTCTACTCTGCCTGGTAACAATGGCTGCCTGGGGGAGGGACAGCTTCAGCCAGACACATGAGGAGAAAACAAACCCCGGGCACAAAGATTACCTTGTCAGTTACAGACCAGGATATAGAGGGGCAGTGGAAAAGGGTGCCCTGTACACTCCTGAATCTGCTATAGGTGGAAAAAGGAGGAAATTAACTTAAAGATGTGGAGGTTGAGTTGCTGGTGATGGGGAGCCTGTAGAAGTGGCTGGTTTGCACAAGTGGTGCTTCTGATATTTGGGCTGTGCAGGGTCCAGCTCTGGTTAGAGGGGTTAGGTGCAGGGTCTCTGGTTAGAGAGCCCTAGGGGGCTAGGGAGAGCTCTGGGCATCCTGCTGCCTTCCACAGCAGCTGTGCTGTTGAAATCTTAATGGGAGTGGAAACTGCAACTTAAATAAGTGGGTTTATTGGGAGCCTTTAATGAGGGCTGGGTGGCAACGTGTGCGGGGCCTCTGCTCAAGGGGAACCTGCCAGAAGGCGCTGCCTCGCGCGAGTGGGAGTGTTGTCGGCTGGGAATCAAGTGGGAGCTTGTCACAGCTGAAACAGGAGGAATGTGCTGGGAAAGGGGCCTGCGAAGCACAGCCCCAGACCGTGGGAGAGGGAGGAAGATGCTTTTACTCAGGGTTCAGCTGAGAAGCGGCGAAGGGATTACGCTCTTCTCCAATGACACGGTGTCCTGTTGCAGCATCCAGGTCCTGGCTGCAGCAGGCTGGGGAGGGAGGAGGAGGAGGGAGGGAGGCAGCTCTGCGTGGCTGCGAGCCTGGGCCCCGCTGGAGCTGGGGGCTGTCCAAGGGAAGGAGTTGTTCACGTACAGGAAACCCGGTAGCAGGATCTCCTGGCTAAGTTGTCTGGCTCAGTCCCAGCTTTGCAATGGCTCAGGGCCTTTTGGTTTAGCTTCACCATATAGCTGAGCCTGTTTCTCTCATGGTGTAAGTCCAGCTGAAATCTCCAGGGAGCAGCTGTGTGTGGAAAGCAAAGCAATGCTGTCTGTCTCCTGATGCTGTAGAGAATCCCTGATCCCAGCTGAGCAACTGCCCCAGTAGTAGTGTGAAGCTGGCAGCCTTCCCTGGGCAGGGATCAGCCTGTGTAACCACCTGCAGAGATGAGAAACCTGGCCTTGGGTTTGAGCCGACAGAAACGCCCCTGTGTTAGAGCCCAGCTATCTCGGGGAAAAGCATCCACCCGCGAGGCAGGAGAGGTCAAAGTGCTGCCTCTGAGCTCTTTGTCCAAGGTAACGGTGCAGTGAAACTACATCTGGAAGGACAGCTCTCTCCTCTCTTCCCAGCCAGGTTACAGCGCAGCTGACGGCACGGAGCTTGGGGCAAGCAGCTCTTGTGTGGAGCTGTTAAGCTGTTTGCAGCCCCTGTCCCTGTCGTTGGGAGGGGTCTCTTCTCCGCAGCAGCAAGGAGGCGTTGGGGATCAGGCCGCATTCCTGCAGGCTCCTGGAGTTGTCTGCGTACACCCTCTGGGGAAAGGTACTGATGATCTCATACCAGTCGGAGTCTCCACCCCTAGGAAAGAACAGCACAATCTTTCCTACGCGCAGGATCCCCCAAGGTTTTGCTGAGATGCTCTGGCTGATCCAGCTGCGGTTATGTAAGAGCAGAGGGATAGACTGTTTCACAAGCACAGGCCCAGCAGAAAAAAGGGCTTCCTGCCCAAACTGCACCCAGCCAGGCACAGAGTGGCTGTTCCAGGCCACACAGCTGCAGTGGGGAAGAAGGCTCCTGCATCCTAACAGCAGTGAGCTGAGTGTGGGATCCGGCCGACACTAGAGCTACAGCCCACAACAGGAGCGGGGAGAGCAAAAGGGTCCCCTCAGCCATCTGGAGCTGTCCCCAGAGGGATGTGTCAGCCCTTGGGCAGCATTAAATGCCTCAGGATATAGAGGTGGCTAAGCAAAGGGTGGTGGTGATGATCCATCAGCGGAAGGCTGTGGCTCTGCTTCCAGGCTGCGCCAACACCCTAGGAACAGTGGCAACAGCCAGCTGAGCGCTGCTGAGCAGCTGGAAGGAGGCAAAGGCAGCCATGGGTCAGATGGCAATTTTGCGAGGATGAAAGAGGCTTATCTCTGCTGCTGCGTCAGCTCTTTGGCAAAGGTGGTATTAAATGCTCCGAGCTCAGTGTGACCCTGGTGGTGCTGCCCAGAGAGCATCTCCGGTGCTGGAGCCAAAGCAGCAGCTCCTGGGGCTGTAAGGCCCAGCCCTGCCCAGCTCATGCTGATCAGCTGAAGCACAGCTCCAAGGCCTTCAGTGGCAGCCAGAAACCTTACCCTGTGGCTCTATGGAGCTGGGCGGGGAGCAAGGAGGGGAGGAAGGCCCAGGCCTACCTGATGTGGGCAAGGTGTTGGCGCAGGTCCCCTATGGTCTCCGTGAAGAGCATCTTTATGACATACGTCTGCTCCCCACTCTCAGATTTGATGCGGAGGGTGCAGACATCAGGGGCAGAAGATTCGGCCTCTTCAGCTGTCTTCACCCTGGAGGTTGGAAAAACCTTGTCAGCTGAGGAGCGAGCACTCTGCCTGTGGCAGAGCCTGTGAGCTCTGCTCAAGGGGCAGAGCCTTGGGGCTGCCAGGGTGATCCCAACAGGGAGAGGTGCTTCACATTTGGGAATGTCCTTGGCGTGAACAAAGCCTGATCTGGCTGTGGGTGAGCAGACCGACCCACAGACTAAACTGCTCCTTTGCTTTCATTGCTTCAAGGTGCCTTGGAAAGAGAGTTGATGACCTTTTTTAGCTTTTTCATTTTAGATCAGGGCTGTCTGGCAAGTACTTCGCCCTACTTTTTTGATTAAAAATAATCTGCTTGGGTTTTTTTTTTTTCATTAGTTATTTGGGTCTTGGCTTGCCAGAAGACTGAGTGGAAAAAGTGGTGTTAGTGTGACCTCCCACTTGGGCATCAGTTTCCTGGAGGAATTCTCCCATTTAACATGACCACAAACAGCTTTTTAGATGGCTTCAAGCTCTTAGGCCTTGGCTTGCTGTTGGGGAAAAGTATCTCACAGCAATAAGTAATACTTCGAACAACAGAAGTTTTTTGTTAGAGATAAAGATGGCAAATTCACCATGAACAATTCAGTGGTCTTCTTAAAAGACCACATGGCCTTTTTTTTCCTCATTATTTCTAAGGTGTAAGATAAAAGAGGAAAATCCATTTACTTCCTCAACTGAAACACCTGAAGTAAACCCTCGTGACGAACAAGGAGGAAGATGAGAGCCTGGCAGGGTGGAGGGACTGTGCCTGTACCTCTGCAGGGCAGACAGCCCGGGTGTCTCCACCAGGATCTCTTTGCTGCTCCGCACCCCATCAGAGCCCTGAAACCAAACCAGGAGAGCATCAGCACTGCCTGCTCCTCACAGAGGGCAACCAGGGCTGGGAAAGCCCGGGAGTGGGTGCCAATGTGCTACGTGGGCTCTGGTGGAGCCTCTCTGGGAGGAGGAGGAGGAGGTTATACAGAGCTGAGAGGCCCAAGGAGGGGGCGCTGGTGCTGAGCGGGGTGCTGAGCCTAGGGAATCACTGCTGGCCACCTTCTGTGGGTGTCTGGGGGTCCACTCATACCTGCTGCGCTGCTCTGGCTGAGCCTCGGACACTGATTGCTTCTCCTCTGTGTGTCAAGGGCTTGGAAAGCTTGTTGAGAAACTGCTCTAGAGAGAGTTTGGGACCTGTCAGAGCAGAGGGGAGATGTGTCCATGTGTGGCCTTTTTGACAAACAATCTACCCCCAGAATAGGCTGATTTGGTGAAGTGAGAGAGCACAGCAGCCGACAGGGAGAGCTCTAACCTCCCCTTGCTAGGCTGAGGCTAGCTCCCGGCCTCCCCCCTTGAAGCTTGTCCCACTTTCTGGCCCACAGTGTTTAATTGTTGACATCAACAGTGAGCAGCTGTGCAGCCTGTTCAGCACACAGCTGGGGTGCACAACTGGTAAAACCTGGTTAGCCCTGCTGCCAACAGGCAAAACAAACAATGACAATTTTTACAGACTTGGAAAATATTTAATCTTGTGAGGGTGTATTTGTAGGTTGTATTGTAGGGTGTGTTTTTCTGTTGCACTGGGCAATCTTTTTTTTTTTTTTTAATCTCTTAGATAAAGGAAACATTTCAAACAGCTTCTGTTTGTGAATGGCCTTGAGATGAACAAGTGAATAGTACAGTTTTCTGTAAATAGGAAGATGTTGCTGATGGGCAGTGCACGTATTTGGGTTATTTAGTTATGCATGCACAACCCCACTGTTTTCTGTCTATGTGACTGAGTGCATTTGATTTTCCAACCCTGACAGGTATTGCTTACACACACTGCTAGAAGCAAAATGAGGAATCTGTGGCCTGACCTCATGTCCCATATTCTCTTATGAAAGCCTGAAGATGAATTGTCCCATATTTGGTAGAGTTAAGCTTGGTCTGGCCTGAAGATTTCCACCTTTATGGAATGAGCTTGTAGGAGAACTGAAGGTTGTTTGCAAGCTACTCGCTCCCCACATCCACAGAGTTCCCTCCGCACCCTTTGATGCTGATAATGGTGAAGTTAGAGCTTGGCCTTTGAAAGGTGCAGGGTAAATATGGGTTTGGAAACCCACTGATCTTCTGGTCTTTTATTACTTGTCCTGCCTCATTCTTTAGGAGGATTTAATGATGAGAGGACATCGTGTGTGCTGCCTGGCTCCTGAAGCAACACCAGGGCTACAAGTGCAGGGCTCTGATGCAGAAGTGTTGCCTTCCTCTCTGAGACCCTACACATTCCCTCCCCACCAGCTGGACTGCCCTGGTAAGGTTTTGATTCTCCTTTTTGAGTGCTAGCTGCATTTCTGAGACAGATTTAAGAATTTACCTGGGATCTCGGTGGTTTCCTGTACCTCAGTTGATTTAGAATGGCCAACCACTTGGCCGTGGCCAGGAAAACTCCCTGGAAGGTCTCTCTCCTGAAACACCAGGTCCCTCCTGTCAGTGACCTGTTGAATTAAGGCCAGGCCAGCTGCCATAAATGAACGTCAGATTTGCTTACCTTGCGCAAGGTTTTTCTCACTGTGTCAGAGCACGATAAATCACACCAGTGACAGCCAAGAACTGTAAACCCCAAATGAAACCAAGTGAGCTGCTTCCTTGGAAGCTCCCCCAGCTGTCCAGACTCGCTGAGATGCGTTTCCAGCTCCTATAGGCTCTCAAACAAACCAAATCCTGGTGGATCCCTCAACTGCCCAGGCCGGCCCACCCAAACCAGTAGCTGCCATCTCAACAAGCACTGGGCAGCTCTTCACGAGGTGTAAGAAACATGCTTGGACCTGACCTTGCCTCTTTCCTGCTTCCATGCTTGAAAACACTCTCCGGGTGGAAAGTGATGTGAAAGGTTGGGGGGTGGAGAGGGATTTGGCGGTAAGAAGACATGTTGGGGGCTGTCAAGGGCTCTAACAAACCAAGACAGGCAGTGCGGAGAGCTGTATAAATCAGGGCAGACTTTCTGCCTGGCTTCCACTTACATTCCTTTTACACCAGCTGTCCGTACCCCAGGTGGATGTGCTGTGTCTGTATTTACCCCGGGTTACTGTACCATCCTGTGGCTTCCAGACGTGGACACACATGGGCGATAGGGAACCACAGCCCCGGGAGCCTTGCACAATCCTTCCTCTTCCATCTGACTTTGACCACCACACCTACCAGCTCACTCTGGCAGCCCTGACCTCGTGCTTGCCCCCGCAGTCGTGCCCTGCTTTCTTCATGGCAGTGGGTGGGTGTACCCCTCCAGTTGTGCCTGCTTAGGTTTCAGATGCACTTGAAGACCTAGATTAGAGTCCTCTGAGGCTCTCTGCCGGATTTCTGCCTGAAAATGTGGCCTTGGCTTTTTGCCATTTCTGAGAAATCAAAAAAATGGGGCCCAAAAGAACCTCATGTGGCCAAATCCATTTAAACTGTGGCAAAATAAACTCTCCTGACACCCTCCTTGAGAGATACTTGTTCAATCTGGTTTTAAAAGCTTTTCCAGGGGAACTATTTGAGAACATTTTTTTCTCGTTATTACACAGCACTTCAGCTGCTGCACATACTACTTCTTCTCTACAAAGCCTGCCATGCTTTTAGAAGTCTTCTTTCAAGCCAAGATTCACTGAGGCAGAGAAAGAATTTAGTCCTGATGCTGAAACACTCGTTTACTTCCTGTAACGGCTCTAGCAGGTGTGCTCCCTGCCACCCTTTCCCCAAGACCCACATGCACAGAATTAAGCTGCATATATGCTGTGTTCAGAAACCTCAAACTTCATCTGCTGTGGGGAGCATCCAGCAGGTTGGTGAAAGAAACCTGAACAATTTTCTTGGGAAGTAAGAGAGCAATTTCTTCTTTCTGAAAAGCTGATGAATAGGGTTTTGCACTGCTTACCTGCAAAGGGACACCGTCTGGGTAGCGCAGCTGCAACTCTGAAGGGAAATAGCCATCCACAATATCCTGCAGGCATTGCTGAAACAAAATGAGAGCTTGTGGTCATACCTCAGACTTTCAGTTTATCTCATGAGGGATATATCCTTTCTGGGCTGTTCCTATTTGTGTTATTCCTGCAGAAAGTCTGTGTAAAAGATCCAGAATGGGAATGCAGGTGAGAAGCAGGAGTTGTCAGTAGTTACCCCTGTCTGGGACTGGGATGAGCTCACATGCCCTTTCCTGAGGCTTAGTGAATGGCAGCAGGCTGGCTCTCAGTCCAGTTCCTCCACAGACCTTTCCATACCTGTGCAGGTGGCTCCTGGTAGGGCCAAAAGGGTCCGTTGCTCATCACCATCCCGTTTTGATACAGCGTAAGAGGGAGGGGTTCTGGCTGTCTCAGCCGAGCACCCCCAGGCGTGTGCTCGATTTGAGAAATGCCTTCTCCAGCCAGCACATTCAAATCCTTCACCTTTTCCAAGATTAAATCAAAATCAATCTGCCGTTTGGAAACAACTGTTTCACCTGTGGAGAGGGATCAGAGTTACTGGGGGAAGGGGATGCCAGCTGAGCAGCTTTCACCTCTATGTGAATTTGAGCTGCATTTGAGTCCCAACATTTTGGGGCTGTCTGTGCTGCCTCTCCAGGCTTCACCTTTCACGCTTTTGCAGCGCTGCCAGGTTTACATGGGTGTGTGCAAAACCACAAGGGCAGGGCAGCAAAGAAACCACCCTCTTGCTACAAGCTAATACAACCCCCGAGCCAGCTACAGATGCAGCCAGCTCCTCAGAGACCACACTCAGCTCCTCGTCTTTGCTTGTAATTTCAGAATTGTTGGCTTGTCCCTTAGTGTGGTGCTGTAAATTTGATTTAATGATGATAAGTTTGATTTGATGATAAGTTTGATTAATTAGATGGGATAAATGGATCAGGACAGAGTTGCTGAAGAAATGCCAGTGTAAAGACAGCTGGCTGCCCACTCCTTGCCACCAGCAGGTTGTTTGCTCTTGCTGGGACACTGCTGGGGATGTTTATCTGGGTGGGTGGAAGGGTGAAACAATAAATGAGTTGTGATGGGACAGAAAAATTAAATCAGAAGAGGAAATGAAAGAAGAGATGTGGGCAGAGGTAAAGTCTTTGGTGTTTTCTGTTCCTCTTTTTTACGATTTGATAATAGAGGGCAGGGAAAATTTCACTTAAAAAGGGTAAATGAACTGAAAACAACAAAAATTATTTTTATTGTTTCTCCCATCTTCTCCCCTCCTACAACTGAGGGAGGAAAGGATTAGTTAGCTAATATTTGCATGGTGGTTAGGAAGCAGCATTGACTACAGCCCAAATATTACTCTTTTTCTCTCTGTTACCACTTCCTCAGAAGCCATTGCCAAATATGCTTGGACCCCATACAGCACAATCGGGTCTCAATTAAACCACTCACGTGGTGGCTGGGAGGAAAAGCAAACAAAGCTCTCTGATGAAGCCAGACAACATGGGTAAGTTACTACAGCTACTATATACACAAAGTGTCTGATTCTGTTTTCCGCCCATTTTACGTCAGTGTTATCAGAGCAATCAAGCTTCAAATGTTGAGGGTACAAGAGCTCTTTGGGAAGCAGCTGCTGTGAGGGTATCCTTCCAAATGGCTGAGCCATCGGGTTCTCTCCTCTTCCCCTGAACAGGGTTTATAAAATATAGATATATGAAATACCAACGTTCTGCCTGGCTTAGCTCCTGTTAAATGGCTCCACATCTCTGCCCCTGAGATGGACTGATGTGAAGACCTCAGCCCAGGATCACCACTTCTGGACCCCAAATTCTGGGTCTTTGGTGCTTACCTTTTCTGGGGAGTATCATGCCTGCAGCAGGAGCTAGGATAGCTGCTTCAGCAGAGTGCTGGTGCTTTACCTGGCTTCCAGAGACTCCTTGCTGGTAGCCGCTCTTCATCCCTGAGTGATTCTAAATCTTCCAGCTGTTCAGGTCTCTCTCCAACCCAAATCAGACCGTAGTCATTTAGAAACTGCTGTAAGAGGAAAGTACAAGTCAGTGTTGTAGACCAGAGCTTCAGAAAAGTAGAAATGGAAGCCTGAGAGTGGCCAGCTGTGACTGTGAGAAGCAGAAGGGGAGGTGAAAGAAGGTTTGTCTTGGGGCTCTCTGACCCTGGCAGACAAACTCACTGGCATTGTAGTAGTAGCAGCTTTACTAGGCAGTAGTAGCTCTAGGTAAAAGGGAGAATTAAAGTATCTGTAGTGACACGGTAATCCCCCAAGACTGTAGTAGCTGCAAAGAATACTTCTACAGTCCTAGAAATCAAAATTAAGAGGCTTGCAGGAGGCACAAATGTGCATTAAAAAAGCTCTTACTGCTCTGTAGTTCACATCCAACCTCTTTTTTTTCTTTTCAGAGGGGAGAGGTGAAGAATTGTGATGATCAAAGCAGCAGCTTAAAAAAGACCAAGCAGCCTGAGACTGCAACAGTCTCAAACCAAAGGTGCAGATGGCTTAGGGCAGGTGAAGCAGGTGTCTCACCTCCATCTCCCAGACCTGGGTCTGCAGCTGAAGGCACCTAATTTCCAGTTCCTCTGCTGTGGGTGGGTCAGGAGCATCTGAAAGGAAAGACTTGGTTTTTCTATGTACAGCCTTAAAGAAGGGCTATAGGTAACCCATGTCACACAGCACAGGTGCCCCAGCAGTACCTGCCTGCACCCCAAAGTGAACTCAAGCCCACACGACACAGGAGCTCTGCATGCTGGTCCCTGAAATTCAACCTGCAGCACCTTGATAGAGATGCTGACAGAATAAAAGATAGTTGTGAATGATTCCGGTGAGTTTTATGCTGTGGGAAGCTGATGTGAGCAGTGCTGTTCATAATTATACAATGAGAATTGCTTGGCTTAGTCTTAAGGGACCCATTAAAAAAATGAGCAGGTGTCCACTAAAGCTGGATCAAGAAATCTAGGCTGTGTGGCTAGAACCGTGCATGATGAGGCACAAAGCACATGTTTGTGGTTTGACAGGCATATTCTTGTTCTCTGCTCAGGAAATTGAGAACTTACCACAGCTTTGTGCTAACAAGGTAGTTCAGCCATGGTAGGAAACGTGTCTGGGCTCCGCTGGAGAGCTGCTGGATTCCAGGGAACTGAGTCGGGGGAAGGACCTTCAGTGACTCACTCAAAGCTGGGTTCAGTTTAGAGTTAGGCTGCCTTACAGGACAAGTGAGCCTGGACCTGTAAGGCTGTTCGAGACTCCAAGTAGATTTTTGGTTTCACTTAGCTGTGAGTGGCTGTTTTTCCAGTCTGTTTGAAGTCTGCAGACCATCCCCAGGTATCTGTGTGGTTGGTCTATGCTCGTGGAAACTTAGTAACTATAGAAAATAGGTCAGGAAATAATGTTTTGTGCTGCACCAAAGAGCCCAGCAACAGATTCAAGAAGAAAGTACAGATCTGCCTTGGCAAACCGTGCCTCGTGTTAGTAACTGATACCACTCCCTGCAGAGGCTCTTGGGCTTTAGGGCGAGGGTGGCTCAGCGAGGAGGTCTCCAAGGCTGCTCTGTGGCTGTGCCAGGAGCTCTGGAGCTCTCCCACAGGTGCCAAGAGTAGAACAATTTTTACCTTCTCCTTTCTGAAGGGTCTTCATCTTCTCTTCGAGTTCAGCAATCCTCCTGTCCTTCAGGACCAGAACAAATAATGACTTTGTTTAGTTCCTTGGCCTTCAGGACCTTGAGGCACAGTATGCACAATCAGTCCTGGCAAGGTGAGTCAGTGGTGTGTGTATTCTCACCGGCTCAGAGACAAAATAAGGGTCGCAAAGGCTGTATCACCTCACGAATACCTTGATTAGACTCAAATGAGGGGTGAGATATAAATACACGGCTCTAAGACCTGCACAAGAGCTGTAGGCGAACCCCCAGGCTCCGACCTGGAGTAAGTGGCTGATGTAGAAACGAAACCAGCATCTCTGCAGCCACCTCTTTAAAAGAAAGAAAAAGGGTATCTATTCTAAGCTGTAGTAATGCAGAGAGGTCTGCTGCAGGATGACTCTGCCGTATGAGCAGCTGTTGGTTCAGAAAGCAAAAGGAATTAAAAAAAAAAAAAAGGTGTGAAGCCAAACAGCTAATGATATCAGTGAAAGGGTCCTGTGAGTCTTTACTTTCAAGAAGACACAGCAGGGTCTGCCCACTCTCCCACCCCAAGGACTGATACCATTACTCTGTGGCTTTGCACAGGCTTGTTTGTGTAATTAACAGGCTACAGATTGACTTGGTTTAGCCCAAACTAGGTTTGAGCGGGTGTAATGCTACTGTGGCTTCAGCCATCAAAGCAGGGCACAGAACAGGTTTAGTAAAGGGCAGGATTTTTACCTTCAGTTGGATTTCTTGCGCTTGTTTCTCTATTTTTTGTTCCAACAGAGTGATTTTGTGCATCATGGAGGACACAAGCTCCATGTCACTGCGAGCTGCTCCTGAAACCACAAATAGGTGTTACCGCTCTAAAATGGTGATCGGTGGTGGAGGTTTATCTGTGACATAAAGGACCTCACAGAAGAATTCCTGTTCTACTACAGCAAGTAGGACCAGAGTAACTTTTGGGGGTACTGGGTGGAAATCCCTGGGCTCCTGACTGGTAGGGAGGTGGCTGTGTAACCAACAGCATGCAGTGTATGCAAGAGGGGGACCACAGGAATTAGCCCTGGCTTGGGGCATCGAGTCCACCAGACTGTCACTGAGAAACTGTGATGGCCCAGAATCCCCTAATGATTGAGGAACTTTACCCTGCATATTCTTTTTCAGTGTTGTCCCCCTTGAGTGGCAGCAGAGACTGCCTTGCACTGGATTCTTTGTCCTAGGAGACAGTCTGTCATCTTCTGAGAAGAGGCACAAAGAGCATGGCAGAAAGAAAACAGGTCAGCGTTTTGGATACAACTTCTTCAAAAGCAGATAGAGAAATACTGGGGTTATGCTGAGGGAAAGAGAAGGCAGGAGAAAGCAGAGTGGCCCAGTCCATTCCCTCCCAACTCAGACTAATGAGTCTATGTGGGCACTAGTTATGAGCCAGGATGCAAGGGAAGGTACATGATCATCCTGTGCTGCACAGCAAAGCAGAAAGTGGTAATATTGAGCTGTTTTAACAGATTAACAGAAGCAGTGGAAATGGAGTTTTTGCTCTAAGATCTAGTAGGAAGGTTATAACCTAAAATGGAACCCTGAAACCAGATGAGGCTCTAATGTGCTGTAGGGCTTGCTGAGGATGTGGAAACCTTTTTACTTATCTGATTTTGGACATATGTGGGAGAAAGAGCTACGATTATTGCAAAACATGTAGGATGGTAAAAAAAACCTTACCAGTGGAGGCAATGAACTCAGACAACTTTGCTCTTTTAATAAAAATAACAGGGGATAATATGTAAAAATAAAATACAGGTTCATTAACTCTGGATTTGCTTGATGGGCAGTTTTTGTGAAATGTAACTGAAAAGGCTGTCCAAAAAAGCCCCGATGGTACATTTTTCTCATCAGTCCATCTTCCCATCCTTGCTTTCTGGGCAGTGTTCGTGTTCCCACAGCTAACTCTGTGCTTTGTAGTACAGTTAAAATCCTTGAGCCACGATGTGGGGGAGCTGCCGGAGAGCAAAGGGGGTGAAGCCCAGGTGAGTGAGGCGCAGCGGTGCCTGCTGCGTTGGGGTAGGAGTGGGTGAAAGAGCCGGCGCTTGCGATGCCGTTGCAGCTGCAGAAAGCAACTCTTCTCTTAAAACTGAGGAAACGTAAACGCGATACAAACCTGTGCGGGACGTGACTGACCGATATCGCTGGTATCTGCTGGGGAGCGATGCCGGCCGGGAGGCAGCAGGTAAGAAATTCGGGGTTTTATTTGAGCTGGTGTTGTTTCTGAACCTGTCACCGCCTTGTGCAGCCCTGTGGGTCCCCAAAAGTCCGTAAGCGATCAGCGTTTTGAGGGATCATTGTAAAATAGGGCTCAAAATAACTCCGGGGGGGGGGGGGGGG